TAGAAGATCAGCAAACATAAATAAATCTTTCATCGTTCCAGCACAGCATAGGATATTCGCTGATTTGAATATTCAACTATAAATACTATACTATAAAAAATACTATAATTTGAAAGCAAATCTTAACCTGAAAAGTTGCTCGTTTTTCGAAAACCATCGAATTCGACGTTTATAAATTTATTATTGTTAAATATAATTGATGGTAGCAGGAAATTCTGGAAGTTTCTCATTTTATTTGACTTTTTATATAAGTAACTGAGAGCTATTACGTCGAGAAAATAGATTTGTACTACAAAATATGGCAAAAAATTTGAAGACAATTTCCGCATATTATTGCTTTCGGCGAAACATATATAAATATATAAATTTCGGAAATGGCCTTTCGAGTGGTTTATTTAATATGGCTAGGCTTATTTTGATCTGCATTACACTTTTCTGCTCAGTTCTTGGTAAGAAAGATTTTGTTACATTCAAACCGCATCCATTATGCATTTATTTTTTAAATGTTTCAATTCATAAAGGTGGATTTAAAATAAATAAGTTTGAAAATTTAAAACTGATGGAGGACTATTCGTACTCACGGAAAATTTATGGAGAATAATTTTGCGAAGTGTATGAAGTGAAAGTGATTTAAAAACTTTGTAAATTATATTTTCAAAAAATTAAAAAATTGCAACTTAATAAAATCAAAATTTTTAAAGATATAAAATGCAAATTTGAGAAGTTGCGAATCATTATTTTTTACATTATCTATAAGTAAATAAATAAATCACCGTCTATTTCTGTATAATTCAAGCGTTTTTTAGAGCCTTTTTAGTAATAGGACTTGATCATTTGCATGGCTTCATTATCATTATTTCATGAAATATTTGCAAAAATGATAGTATACCTGGAACGATTTCTCCTTCTTCTTCTAATAGCTCTCATCATTACTGGTTAGGAGACCTTCGCTGGCTATAAGTGTAAGATATCTACAAGCTATTCGATCCGACACCATCAACAGTAATACAAGCCATCTCTTTTCCATCGTCTAAGTCCATATATTTCTGGTCCACCTATATATACTTACATCTTTCCTGATTGTATCAGTCCAGGTTTTAGTTGGTCCACCTGGAACGGCTTGAAAATAATTTTTTCAAAACTGATAAAAGAAAAGAAAAACTAAAGATAAAATTGATTATAGAATGGCAGTTTAGGTTCATTTGAGGGTGATAAAATGAGCTTACCATATGTCGAACTAATCAAAAGAACAGAACCTATACCAGATAGCTCATATGTCTATGACGAGGATCAAATCGTGTAAGTCATATGAAAATTCAACCATCAGTATTTTTGCGATTTTTTTCAGCCAATTTCTTTAAATTTTTTTCGAATCAAAAATTTTTGTATTATATTTTTATATTTTTGCATTACATTTATTTTCTTAAAATGTTCATTCGTTGAAAATCTTAAGTAGAAAATCAAGACCAAACAAAAATAAAACAAAATTTTAAACATCAAAATATTTTAGACCTTATTCGGAAAACCCGAGAACGTATAAGAGATTAGTATTGGCGCGTGTGGGTAAACGCTTTCCTCCTGCTCGAATCGGTTGATCTTTTGATTATTAATATTAATCTCATAAATATTTTAATTTCGAAACACTTTAGTATAAATAAAATTTTTGTACAAGAAAAAACAATTTCTGCATACAGTCGATTCAACAAAAAGATTTAAACAACAATTTTTTTCATTCTACTTGCAGGAAATATGGTTAATATTTAGTACAAAAGGGTTTCTTGAAATTCGAAAGTATAAAAAAAGCAAATAGCAGCGATATCTTGAATTGTTAAAATGGTTTTATAAAAGTAAACTCAAAAAAATACCAAATTTTTATGTTTTCATTTTTCCTTAATAGACTGCTTTAATAATTACTTCACCCTAAATTCGGACTTAATGCCAAGTTAACATTCTAATAAGATAATAAACAATTTACTTCAAATATATTACATCTCGTATCAGCACTCGTAAATCAAGATCACAACTGCGGAACTGGTGAAACAATGGACACACCAAAACTTCATCATTTTTAACTGTGAAAATATTATTTAATTCTCAATATGTCATTTCTCCCAAATATTTTTTCACTTATTTATTGAAAATCAGCCAAGTAGGACGAAAAAAAGCCATGTGCTTGTATTAATAACAACAATTAAAATAAAAATAATAAAAATTAATGACAAAAAAATAATAAAATAAACAATTTAAAGATGAAATAAAGAAGAAATTGCAAAATAATATAATATAGTACAATTCGAAATAACTATAATCGGATGGTAAAAGTCGAGAATTCACATTTCCTTCATGATATGAACTTTATAATATCATAAATGGTATTATCTAATCATTTCTTAAAGCTAAGGATGACGCACAAGCTATATCGTTCGGTAGTTAGTTCCAGAAATTAATATTATGAATAAAAAAAACGAATAAAGAAATCATGAGTCCTTATTTTAATTTTGCACATAGGTTTTAGTAATTTTAGCCCATTAGTTCTGGATTTAAATTTAACCTAAAATTATAATATTTTGATTCTACAATCTAATATAACATAACCATACAAAATCTTATAAGTATAGATTAAATCTCGTTTAATACGAACTGACAGAGAGTCCAGGTTATATTGTAGAAGTTTTCTTTTATAATTGAAACTGCAATTAGGAGAGAGGCGTTGTATAAATTATTTTTGGAATCCTTCAATCATTTTACTCGATTTACGATATCTCTGGGAGTAACATGTAGTATTGCAGTTAAGAAATGGCCGTACGAACGCTTTGTACATTTTGATAAGAAAATCTTCAGTTTTGTTCTTGAATGAACGAAAAATAAAATTTAGTATCTTTAAGGATTTCTTTACCATAGTTCTGCAGTGAAGGTCGAAGTCGAGATTTTCATCCATGATTATTCCAAGACCGGAAATGTGTGAGATTCTACTGATTATATTACCATTAACAATAAGAAAATCGAAACCTCTAGAATTGATATGAATATCCTGATGATACAAAATTTACGCAAACTTTTTTTAATGACCAAGCCTTTTGTTGATAAATTTATCAAATGAATTTAAATCCTGAATGTGAAAATGGCAGAAATAAAAACGAATAAAAATCTAGAAAAGTTAAACACACCTTATAATTTAACGATTTCACAACAGATTTGTTACTTTGATATAATCACGCATCTTTACATATATTTGCTCAGATACATTCGGCTAAATTCTGGAAACGACCTTCAATTCTGATGAGTTAAGAATTAAAAGGTGAAAAGGAAATCCGAGTTTTTTAACCTAATCCTATCTGAAAATTTTTCGATTAAATTCTGTTACTTCTTAATAATCTTGTGAATAAGAACATAAAAGAAGTTAATTTCAACGTATATTTGTTAATAAAATATTGTACAATTTTACAAAATGTTCAAATATTCAAGTGAGATCCATAAAAATTCTATTATTGTAATATAAATATGCATAAGAAACAAAAAAAATTAAAAAACAGAGGTTAATTAAGTTCAATTCATTTGAAATGGTTTCCATATGTTCAAAATCAGTAGAGACGAAGGACTTGTTTGGATTTGTCTGAATTTGAATTAGCAAACATCAAATGAAACAAATTTTTGCAAGACGAACTCCAATTGCATATCGAGAGAAAAAAATTCTGTGAAAATAAGGCTACGAAGCATAAAAGTAAGATCACTTCAAAAACGGATCTAAAAAATTTTATAAACTTCTTAAAGAAAGATATTTACAAAAAAGTGATAATGAAAAGCAATTAAAACATAACGACCTTGACAGCTTATTAATATCAGTGCCTCTCCAATTTTATCAACAGATAAAAAAAGAAAACGATATAATAACTATTTTCTTAGATGTCAGTTTTCAAATTTCTTGCGGATATAAAAATCATTGAAACGCAACAATCTATTTTCAATGTCAGAAAGTCAAATAATTATAAGAGAAATGGAAAGAAATCACATCATATATTAAAATTTGCTATAAAAATTGGCATAAATAAAAAATTGCTATAAATAAAAAATCAAAAAATGAGTACTAAAACCCACATAGATACTTGATGCCCATTTTCTCAGGTGTAGATGAGAAATTTCTACATAATTAGCTGTAAAGAAATCTTGAAGGTAAGAAGAAAATTTACTTGTTAATTCATTTATGATATTAAATTCAAGAAATGCAGCAAGAATCAGATTCAGAATCACCGTAAAAAAGAAAATATTTTGCTGTATACCAGAAGCTGATAAAATACCTAATTCATCAAAAGCTAGTACCAGACTTTAAATATATTCCATCCACCCTAATATCAAATGATCAAGCAAAAGACAGAACAGCAGCTCTGATAACCACAGCTAGAAATGCGTTCTTTCTGTTGGCGAAGCTCCTATGGAATCGCCGGGAAATTACCATTAAAACGAAAGTTCGAACCTATAAAAATGCAGTACGCACAATCTTGCTATATAATGGCCAATGAGACTAAAGAAAATTAAGAAGCTATCTGCATTTGACAACATTTGTCTAAAACATATCCTACGTGCCTGCCGAGCATATGAAATCTCATAAGACTTTTGCATCCACCTTCAAATACCACATGCATTAACAATACCACGACAGAAGATCTACACTGGTTAGGCCAAGTTCTTCGTAGCATGACATATCTCGCTAATTAAAACCTATGAAAAATGGAATCGAAGTGAAAGTATGGATGTGCCAGTGATATATGGGTTTAGATAATAAAAAAAAGAATAGCTTCTATTTAGATATGATATCGAATCCAGTTTGAAAACACCTTATTTTTGTAGCCTTATCCAGCATAATCAGCCTAACAAATAAGAGCTGATGAGAACTGCTAAAAGAAGATGAAAAAATTCGAAATGTGAAAAAAATGAGAATTTTTGAATTTTATATTATTCTAACTCTAACAACTAATCTGATATTATCATGGTCATAATTTATTTTATTTTCGTTGTATGGCATTTCCTCTAGCTTTCTTATAAAGTTCTCGCCTTGACAAAAGTCTTCTCCCCGAAGAGCGTAGTTTCCGACCTTGCATTGGAGAAGAGGGTTCTTGAACGGGCTCAGGTGTGACGACACGAGATACCTGAATTGACTTTAATTATGCAATATAACTGTGGGTTTTTTTGTTTTTTTTCTATGAACGACTTTTCATTGATTCGTATTCATTAATATGCAACTAAAACCTACCGATGTACTTGCACTTCGTGACTGCGTTTCACTAGACGACATCTTGTCGAAATCGTCCTCATTCTCATCAACAGGACCAGTACGATTTGAAGTACCCACAGAAGCAGGATCAATTTCCATTAGCTCTTCTTCACGAGTTTCATCTGCGTTAACGGAGTGTTCTAGTGCAATCCTGGCGGCCAAGGCAGCTTGCTAAACCACAGTTAGACTTAAGGTTATAAAAAAACTAGGGCAAGCTTAATTTAATTAATTCGTATACTTCGATTTTTCTACGACCCTAAAAAAACTCAAAACTCAAAAAATTTAGCTAATTTCAAATTTTTTGGATAATCTTGCCTTTTTCATCCGAGTCATCATTCGCCGAGCTCTATTTCTTTCGTGATGTTGTAATCTCTTCGCAAGCATCCTAAAAAAAACCACATTCGAAAATTTATAGTTCTGAAAATCCAGAATACGAGGAAAAAATAAAACGAGATCTTATGAAATGATGATTTTGAAAAAAAAAGTTACAACATCACCTGTGACCATTCTAATACGCATTTCTTTTTCTTCTAACACTTCACCATATCAAATCTGGCTTACTCTATCAACAACAAAGTCATACTAGCAAATAATTTCTTACAGAAGTACACGCTAGTATATATATATATATATATATATATATGTTAGTAGAAATATATAATAGAATTTGTCACTCCATTTTTAATGATATTTTTTTTCCAAGGGACAGAAATTAACAAAATCTCACTTGAACATGTTTCTAGAAGAATTTCTTATTTTAATATATTTTAGCGAGTGAAACGAACCTTCGCTCTTCTCCCGTAGTAGCGATACGCTGAAGCAATCGTTGAATTTCATCGTAAAGTGCCGCATTAGTCTAAAATAAATATACATGAAATAAATAAATAAATTTAAAAGAAGGAAAAAAATTTAAAAGAAGGAATTTTATGAAGTGGAGAATCAACTAATCATAAAAAAATCAGCAATAAAAAAATTATTATAACCACATAAAGGAAAAAATATTGTAAAAAGAAAAAAGGAAATTTAAAAAATTCCAAAATGCAACGAGACATGTCCTAAACATATTGGCTTCAATTTGCAACTGCATTTTACAAAAATAACAAATTAATAAATAAATTAATAAATAATAATACTGCATTTTACAAAAATAACAAATTAATAAATAAATTAATAAATAATAATACTGCATTT